GACCGGTGCTTCTTGTTAACGGATACAGATGATATGTTGGGCCAACAATGTCAGACCTCTATATCATATAATACGAAACGACTTAAAAGATGTTTTTATGTGAAAAAAAAAATTGGTGCAGATGAAGAAATCAATCAATTTGTTGCATATATGATACAGGAATCTCTAATTATATGTTGTATATAATTATAGAAGTATCTTATCATCTTTACGGCCCACAATTTCAAAACCAAATTAACAAAGCACCCAATTTCTAAGTAATATATTTTCACAAATTAATAAAATAATAATAATTAATAATAATTATAAAAATATTGAATTAGTTTATAAACGTATTGCATATTTGGAAATGAATTCGCTAACAGCGAAACTAAATTCAGCTAATTAATCTAAGTAGATAACTGTTGCATACTTTTTGGTGTAATAATAAACTTCCACCATATGGTAAGATTTTGTACAACATGTTTAGATTTCTACCACACTATACTGATTATGAGACAAACGTTGCGCCAAACACACTGCAATAGTTCGTTCACCACTCTACTTGGCGATTGTAAGAAACGAATAAGAGCATATGATATGAATAAATACAATTTTTATAAATATGTTTAGATATGTATGCACAGGTATGACCTTTTTTGTACATAGATTTAAAATTAAAATGAACGCCACACATAAATTAATGCACATTATTACATATTTTTGTACTTTATACCCGTAGGTATATTAGGGTATATATATTAGGTTTGTGCAAATGATGTAACATGCAGAAGGAAGTATCTCCAACCCCATAAAGTGTATATATTTTTGATCAGCATGACGAAAGAAATCGATCTAGACATGTCCGTGCGTCCGTCCGTCCGTCCGTCCAAACAGCAAAGGGTGTACTAGTTCAGTGCGAATCTTGACTTGGGTCAGAAAGCCGGAGCTCTTTCTTCAGGCCCTTTCAAAATCTTGTTATATATATAAAATAGTAATGTAGAAATATATAATGCTAAAACAATAATTGAATGGTAGGTCCGAGTGGGCCATCAGAAAAGAGTTACAAACCTGTCCATTGTCCATTGTAAAACCTAGGGGAACCTTGATATCAAGTTTGAAAATTCTAGGGGAAGCTATTATACTTCCTGAGATCCATATATAATTTGTGAGATATGTTGTCACACCTCTTTTTGGGTGCAACGAACATTCGTACTTGGCATAACATGTTACCTTTTCGCAGTAGGGTATAAAAATCTATTTTTTTCGGAGCCTTACTTTAAGAGACTAGAATAGCGACCACAAAAGCTCAATCAATACTGGTAAATGATTTCCACAGCTTTTTAAATTTAGATCAAAGTCGTTGGAGTTAATCACGTAGAACAAATAACAAACCCACATGCGCAACAGACACAGTGCAGTGCAAAAGCAACAGCAAACCAGCAGCAACAATTTCAAGGGTGGTTTTTGGTTTGCTGGTCTGCCAAGGACTACAGCTGACTTTGGAAAAGAGAGGTGTACAAGTAGGTAGGGCGCTGGCGTATGTGTAGGCGAAGGGGAGTAGTATGTGCACGTTGACCTTAAAATGCTTTATAAACACGTTTCGTGCCAATCACAAACTGATTAATTAGACACCTGATTTTGAAAAATGTTAATTGAATAATACTTTAAAATCTAACAGGAGCTGCTAACAAGCGGATCACAGAAGTTCCATAAATTTGTATGTGCGAGTGTGCGTGTGTGTTTGCCGGTGAAGGTGCAGTTTGAAATTCAAGTTGCCTAATAACTTAAAACCCCAAGCAGCTTTAATGGCCATAATTCGTCGTGGCTGACGAGACGCTGCCTGAAGTCCAAGGAGTGGTGTGCTCGCGTGTGTGTATTTGTTCTTGTTGTTGTTGTTGTTGTTGTACTATTGACATTATTGATGGAAATTCTTTTGTGTTTTCGTTGAAAAAAACCAAACAATAACAACAAAAACAAAAACAACAGAGGAACGAAGAGACGCGCGCGTTATTTGCTCTTTCTCCACACTAAATGAAAGCCCATGGCTCTGGGTCGGCCCCCTCCACCCCACAACTCCAGACCAGGCCCCATATGTAGACAGGTGCATGCCTCTGTAAATCTTTGAGTGCGTGTGTGTGTGACTACTTACCTTTATTTGCTGCCGTCTGCCACTGTGGAATAGGAGGCTCAGTTTTTCCAAAATAGTTTACGATTATTGCCTCGTGCTTCAAATTCGACCATTTATTAATCCCACTCAAAAATATTAATTAACTTAAGCTGCTGTTTTATGGCTATGCATTAGAAATTATGTATATAATTACAAGATATTTATAATTAATTTTATGAATTTGAGAGTAGCTGCAATTTGTTTTTACTTTTTCTTTTCCAATAGTAGTAGATCATACAAGCATATGCAATTCATTCAATTTATATATTATTTATAATTAATTTTATGAATTTTAAAGTAGCTATAATTTATATTGTTTTTTGTTTTGCAACAGAAGTAGTAGTATTAAGTACTTATATGCAATTTTTTCAATTAATTAATTTATATGCCTTTTCATGTTGTACCCACATTTTGATCTTTAGGATATATGATTGGTTTTATTCCTAACTACTTTGGATTTTGATCGATAATTTGTGCTTCCGTCCACAAATTCGACCATTTCTTAATCCCACATAAAAATATGAATTAACTTAAGCTGCTGTTTTATGGCTATGCATTAGAAATTATATAAATACAACATATTTATAATTAATTTTATGAATTTGAGAGTAGCTGCAATTTGTTTTTACTTTTTCTTTTCCAATAGTAGTAGATCATACTAAGCATATGCAATTCATTCAATTTATATATTATTTATAATAAATTTTATGAATTTTAAAGTAGCTATAATTTATATTGTTTTTTTTTTTGCAACAGAAGTAGTAGTATTAAGTACTTATATGCAATTTTTTCAATTAATTAATTTATATGCCTTTTCATGTTGTACCCACATTTTGATCTTTAGGATATATGATTGGTTTTATTCCTAACTACTTTGGATTTTGATCGATAATTTGTGCTTCCGTCCACAAATTCGACCATTTCTTAATCCCACATAAAAATATGAATTAACTTAAGCTGCTGTTTTATGGCTATGCATTAGAAATTATATAAATACAACATATTTATAATTAATTTTATGAATTTGAGAGTAGCTGCAATTTGTTTTTACTTTTTCTTTTCCAATAGTAGTAGATCATACTAAGTATATGCAATTCATTCAATTTATATATTATTTATAATAAATTTTATGAATTTTAAAGTAGCTATAATTTATATTGTTTTTTTTTTTGCAACAGAAGTAGATCATACTAAGTACTTATATGCCTTTTTTTCATTTAATTAATTTATATGCCTTTTCATGTTGAGCTTTTGATCTTTAAGATATACGGTTGGCTTGATTCCTACTTACTAGTACTTTGATTTTTGATCGATAATTTGTGCTTCCGTCCCACTGTGTGTCTGCTTCAAATGCAGCGAATGCAGTGTGTTGGCCAAGTTAAGTTGCCGCAAGACAAACCCAAGTGCGTGTGTGCAGCCCAAAACAGTTATGCAAATTATGAGGCGGCCCTGTGCCTGTCCCCAGCACCGTCCAAAGACTAGGCGTTTGTCTGGCCGGCCGTTTGAGCTTTTGTGCGAGAGTGTGTGTGTGTGTGTGTGTGTGTGTGTGCGTGTGCTTAGCGCCTAATGCCCAAGTTTATGTCGCTTAATTATAGCAGCCGTCTGTTTAACATGCTAATCGGCGGCTGCTGTATCAAATAACCTGCCGCTATCGCCGCCTAAGGCAGAAAGTCCAATCTCTAATCGAGCGCATGCGTTTTGGTTTTGGAAACTGTAGTACCTTGGGAACGGAAATCCCCATAGATAGACAATACTTTGCGAAAGTGAAGACAGTCTAAAAGGCTGCGGTATAGCCAAAAAATTCGTCATAATACGCTACATTTCTTCCGCATTATAGCAGCAAATTTTCTTAATTATGACAAAAACAACATTTATGTGAATATATACTCGTATATATTTTGGTATGGGCGTAACACCATACTTTGATTATGTGTGGTAGTCAGCTAATTTATTGACACATTTCGAGACCAAATTTCTGTCAGTATTTTGTTCACTAAGCCGCTTGTTCACCAAATTAGTGGTTACAGATCTGCTTTTAATGAAGCCAAAGACTCAGCCTCTGCATGTGCGGCGTTGCGGCCAAATTGTGCGTTTGCCATTACGCTTGCGATTAATTTTCCATAAAAGTGGAGCTTAGTGATAGTCGATTGGGTTGGACTTGGTGGTAAGAACAAGAGTGTGCTTGTTTAAGCAAGCCGTAGTAGCCACAATTAGACTTATGTATATTACATTTACTCGTAATTCGTCCGTAAGGTAACCTTTGCACTTTACAGCGCCCACAATTGAATTCGTTGGAATTGGTTCAATATCGATTTACGACCCTTACCTACTCCCTGACTAGCACAATCAGTCGCAAATGTGTTAAATATGTTAAAATGTTTCCTGCAACTGCCTGCAGCAACAAGTTGGATGCAGCTGCTGCAGTGGACGTCAGACTGACCTTCAACTTTGACATTTTCATTGACGCAAAGACGATTGAAATGCTGTAGCTGAGACAGTTAGTTCAAAAATAAATACGAAATGGATTTGCCTCAAATTCGATGGCTGAAAGTAAATTTACTCCCTTCCCCCCCTTCCCCATTTCCCCATTTCCCCCTTTCCCCATCTTCCCATGCACACAACACACATTTATTAATAACTTTTCGCGGGCGAGCAATTCGAATTGCCATCGCAGCCAGCTTTTTGTCAGATGCTCATACTTGTTGGCTCTGTCTCTCTCTGAGTGCGAGCCCCAAGCTCCACTGTTGGTTGGTTGCGACAACAGCATTCATTCCAGCAGCGAACCTTGTCCGATTCGGTTGTGTTCGTTTGGTGCGCTCCGGTAATTATTTGTATTTGTATTCGTTTGCTTTTGAATTTTCGAGCGATTTGTGCGCGCATTTTCAACAAGTGTTTTTATTGAGTGTGTGAGTGCGAGTGCGGCAAACAATATACAAGAAATAACAATTAAATGACCGTAACAACGACAACACCACAGCCAAGTAAAGTGCCAACAGTGTAATTAGCATAACACGTGTTTGATTGTGTTTGTGTGTATGTGTGTGTGTCCACCTTAAAAATTGTATGCTTGTATTACACAAAGGCAAAAAGGTGGCTCGTAAATACTCATAAATGAAATAAAAACATTGTTGAGCAACTTAGTAGTTTCGAACGAATAATACTGAATCTGCTGCAGTTTGCATTTCTGCCCAAGATTGTGGCGTCTGTCCGAGTGTGCGGTTTTCTTTTTTATGTAAATTTTTTAGTTTGATTTGTCGACGCTGGCGGAAAGTCGTCGCGACATTGTCACTGATAACTAACGGCACTTGGCGGCAGTGGCAATGTATGTATGTATGTATGTACACATGTATTATGTACTTGTACATACATACATACATACATCTGTATAAAAGAAAGTGCACACGAGGCGCAAACGTCACAACGGAATCTTGTTTCCAGCTGAAGCAATCATTTATTTATAACTACTTCTAAAAGTGTCCGTACGCTAAAAAAATGTGTGTCTTACTTGAAAAAAGACATTAAGCGTTGCTTATGTGAAGTACATAAATAATACATAACAAAGAGTTGAACAAAAAATTTACAAAACTGTGCATAACTTGATGAAAATTGCAAATTATACTATAATGTTAATGAATGTGCAATGCCTCATACTTATTATGGCTTATTATCAATACACAATGCGTTCAAATTTTAGTCTATCTGAGTTTTTGTAATATCAAGCTCTCTGCCTATGTTGCATACATTTATAACGTCCCTTTAGCTTTATTAAATATATATATATATATATATATATATATATATATATATATATATATATATATATATATATATATATATATATATATATATATATATATATATATATATATATATATATATCAGTCATTAAATATGATCTTGAACACGCTTTCTTTTACAAACCATTGAAAACATATTATCTGATAACTATTTATTTGTACATGGTCGAACATGCATGCATAAGTAGAATGAATGCTAATGATTATTTTATTTTTTTCAATTAAAAATATCAATGTATATATTATTTTTTTTTTTTTTATTTCTATAAACTATTAAAAACATTATAAATATAGGAAAAATCGAAATATTGTTCGAAAATCATAAGATTTGTTTCCATTTATGAAAGCTAAATAAATGATAACAGAGAAGTATGATAAATTTTGAAAACAGCACCCAAGAATGCATTTAAATTCACTTTAATCCTATAAGAAGTATGCCAAAATGTAGCCCAACACTAACGTACGGTTTTATTTTTAAAAATTAAGCATTCTAGCACGATCAAAAACAACAATAACAAGCTCTATAGTATGTGCCCTGTATAAAGCAACCAAAAACTAAATTAATAACTCATTGCAAAATATTGCAAAAACAAAAATAATAATAGTAACAAGTACGTCAAGCGAAATGTGCAAAAGTTGACCAACCGTGAGCGACTTACGAATTTGTTATTACAACAACAACTACTTGTACTTGGTGACTGTAACGGATTTTCACACAAAACATTACAAACTTTGTCGTGGACTTCGGCACTTAACGACGTTCCATTCGAGTTCCGTTCCGGTTCCGTTTGACTTGCGCTCTCCGTGGCACATTTTCAAAGTAAGTTGAATTAATTAAGTTAACAAATGTCTTGGTATATTATTTGTTTAAAGAGAGGTATCATGTCTAACGAAGAGACAATTTAGTGAACGGTCTAAGGAAATTATAATTAAATGATTACAATGTTTTGAATGGTTCGGGTATAGCGCATAAAAACCATTTGAATTGACATTGTTGAGTAAAAAGGATGTGTTAGGTTTGAGGAAAGGAGTAATGATCTCATTGATGATTATCATGATCTGAGCTTATTTTAAAGACATAAATTTTTCAGTCAGCAATCCAACCCCGTTTTTTACAGAATACTACGAACAGTTCGAACTAAATATGTATACCCCTTATTTCATTAATATAGCGCTAAATCTACGACCCCCAAGCTGCTTCTGCCATTCACTCGTAGAACTAGTTTTGTAAAATAGCGAATTAGGGTACTTCACTGTGAGACTGGCTAGCCTGTAACATTCCCTTTGGTAAAGTTTTTGTTTTGTATGCTCACTACATTTCTCAGGCTTTCTAAATAAACTTTTCTATCTCTAGATTTGCCCTTTCATGAATCAGCGTGATTTGTCCCACATTTGATAGAACTGTTGCTAAAAATAAAAATTGTTCGTACATATACTATTCTATATGTACTTGCATGCAATTATTTTTTTCGAGTGATTCATGACTTCTTAGCTGGGTAGCTTAATAGAAAAAACCTGCACTCCCTTTGAAGCCCAGATAATTTTTTTAAATAAAGCTACATTTTAACAACTAACTGATAAAGCTGAGTCATATCAATTCAATAAATTGACAGTCTGATTAAATTATTAACATTTTGATAGGGAATTCAGTAAATTATTGTAAGTCTTTAAAATTATTTGTATTCATAATACCTATGTTTGTAAAGATTTTTGAAAATAATTTTTAGCTAATTAAGATTTCTGAATGCAAACTAATTTAATTTACTTTTCTTTCTGCTGCAATCGAATATAACGAAATTATTTTTATAAATTAAGTTTTTATAAATTTAATCAGTGCTTAAATAGTAAGTTTGTAGGCTTCCGGTTTTGGGGCTTAAAATATTTAGGCGCATCCATTATTCTCGAGCATGTGAATAACACATTGTTCTTCAGTTAGGGATATACTGTGTTGTAAATGATAAAGTGATTGTTATAATGCTTGAAATGAGTGATTAGTGAAAACATTTTTGGTTTTTTCGATGTTTGGAACCAAGAGATGCATATGGCTCAATAAAAATAAAGGACCCTTGTCCGAAAGAAACCGTGCCTATATTTAGGCTTTGGCAGCGCAGACAACAGGTGCATGACCAGTCATTGAATTGACCATTCAATCAGTCAGGTGTCTGCTCAAGCCGCAAAAAAAGTTACGACCATGCCAAAAGGTTGAACAACCCAAAACAAACCGCAACCGAAAGCGAATGTCAGAGCAAGTGCAAAAACTAGAGTGCGACGATTACGGTGGCGACGGTGGCTCATGAACTTCACAATCTTGGCTCAGAGATCTAATGTCATTAAATGCGCCCAAGGTTGAATATTTGTACACGACCGACTTTTGTGCCGTTTCGAAGACTTTTCATTGCGAGTCTACTTGTATATCTATAGATATGTTTGTATGTACGAGTAGATGTGTTGCCCAAGCACCTGTTACTGTCAATCCAACATTCAGGCAGTCAATAAATGAGATCTGATTTCACTGTCATGTGAATAGACTTTTTTTTACTTGTTTTACGCATATACTCGTATAGTAGATTCAAAAGTGGGTCTAGAAATGGTTTGTTGTGGCAAGAAGACCTCCCTGATCTGCATGTTCATTGCGTTCTGGGGTGCCGCGCAGCTTCTACTAATGGGTCTGCTGTTCGCTTACCATTCCCTTGGACTAATCACCGATTTACCCATAAGCCAGAGCTACGAAACTATGGACCAATTTCGGGAAGATGCCGATGCAATGTTCCTGCTGCTCGCATGGCGCTGCACTGGAGCCGGGATATTCTTCCTGGTGATCTTTCTGCTGGCCTTCATCAACTTTTGCATCAACAGATGGAAGGAGTCCAGAAAACCACTATATCGCTGAATAGTTGTGAATGCCTTGGGCCAACGGTTTATTCTTATAATTACCATAATAATTGTAACGGATTTTTCAATATTCTAATATGACAAACGACTTTTCTATTGACCAGCACCCACCTCAAATTGCTACTCCTCCCAAGTGCGACTCGAGCTGCAGCTTGAGCTGCATCGGTGGAGCTCCGCCTCCACACCTAGGCGCGAGGCAAGAGTCATTTTGTTGTGGCACCCACCTAGAGCGCAACAAGTTTGTTGACCGCATTTCCAGTTGTTTTTGTAGTTTGTTGTTCCCGATGTCGTTCTCGGGCGTTAGCTTCGGTGTTGTTGCTGTTGCTGTTGCTGCTGTTATTGTTGCCCCTGCAACTGTCGTGATTACCTTTAGCTTCTTTATCTACTTAAAAAGCATGCTTGTTTGAGCTACTTTTGGATTTTTAGACTGGCTTTTATTATGCATTCGTCTCAACAATTTTTTTGACAACTTGTTGCTGCTGCTGCTGCTGCTGTCGTTATGGGTATATGTATATAGTGTGTATGTACATATGCGCACGTGACACCTTTATAGATGTGTTCCTTAGATGTCATAAATTTCAAAGAAAATTTCTGATGCGCATTTAGTGGCTCCAGCATGCTAATGTGGGTCTTCAGTTGTGGGTTCAGGTCTGGCTCGGTCCCTCTCTAAGCTTGTGGGCGCATGAGATAAGCGCCCGTTCGTTCGTGCTAAGTATTTTGTAGCTGGTTGTTGTTCACGAAAACCGTTGTGTAAATTATTAACAAGTTGTTTGTTGTTGCAGGAAATCATGTTGTTGTTGGACTTGGCCAGTCATACTCGTATTTGTTATCAGGCCAAAAGCTGTAGGTAGGCGCTACGAATCTTGGTTGTGGAACAAATTCATAATAAATTTTGAATTGTTTGCGCTGCCAACAAGATGAAGATGTTGAGTGGGCTTCGGGATGCTTATTCATTACAGTTAAGGTACAGTTGGAATCAGAATAAAATAAAATAATAAAATAAAATAAAATAATAATACTTGGCAGCATGCTAGGGGTGCCGGTTACGTAAAGCCTTTAAAGACACAGCATTATGCAGCAAAATTATTAGTTCAAAGACAACTAATTGTTTCTTATACGATTTACTTCCTGGTTGGGCGAATGCGATGCTTTATTCACCTTATGTTTTTGGAAAGTCTCATTTAGTTGGAGAACTTACCAAATAAAAGGTCATACTAAGTCACTCGCTTTCAGAGACCAAGAAGCGCTGTGATTCCCGCCTTTTAAAAGTCAACTGTCATTAAAGGAAATATAAAGCAATTGTTTATGATATTTTATATCCCCTTCGTTTTTGTATGCTGTAGATCCCTTTGGAATCTCTGACAACATTTGGATCATTGAATAGTCATACGACAAACATATCCCAAAATTATTAAAAATTTAGTAAGAAAAAGTAGTAGGAATTTTCCTTCTGCGATTTTATGTTATTAGATGAACGCTGATCCCACCAATCGAACGTAAAATATTGCACAAATCGTATAAATTTACATTATTTCTTTCAACAAGTTCGTCGGAATATTTTAGAGCAGTTTGAAATTTGCGGAACTGAAAATACAAAAGCCGTTTATTAAGAACAGGCGTAAGTGTCGTACCTCTGCAAATTTCGGCATCTGCCTCTACCAAAACACCCATTTGTTAGGCACAAAGGAAACGCGGACTACACCGCCTCTAAAATATCAAACAAAGCAACAGTAGAGAAAAATTTCGTTTTTTGCGTTGACAACTCAGACAATTATATTTTTAGCAGTATCACACTCTAAGAAAATCAAATTTTACGCTCACAAGACGAAGAAGAAACGAAAAAAGACGGATATTTAAAATGTCTAGGATGTTGACGGCCGCCTCGATGCGGCTTTTTCGTGGCTGTAAGTATGATCATCGATATAAATTTGTAGATACATATCTGTATCATAGCCCATTGACTATTTTTTTTTACACTCGTACTCAACACATTCACACACACATCGTATCCTGTACCCGTATCCGTAGTGAGCTCTAAGCAGCCATTTCTCAACACTTCCCGATATCTGACCACCAAGAAGCCGACTGCTAAGTCAACAACGGCGCCCAAATGCCAGAAAGACGAAAAGGAAAAGCCCCCACCACCGGGGACATTTCCAAGCGGCGGCACACACGCAGTGTTCAGCGATCTGCCAAAACCGGAGGGCGATTTCATGAAGGAATGGTCTGCCAAGAACTCCAAATACAACATGATACTTATCAGTGGAATTGTGGCATTGGTCGGAAGCATAGCTCTAGGCATATCCTCAGGCGTTATGGAGCTTTACTGCTTTGTGCCCGAATATCCCTACACCAAGGAAGAATTAGAAGAATTTGAGAAGGAGGAGGTGCGCAAGCAGGAGGAGATTGATGCGCGCGAAGAGCGCCACAAGGACTTGGTTGAGGCGAAGGAGCTGACCATAAGGCGTCGCAAGGCCAGGGACGCAATGAAGCAGGAGGTTGCTTTCATGCAGAAGGACATAGATGAGGGCCTATCTGATGGTGAACTTGCACAGTTACAAGACTTGGTTCAGAAACGCGAAGAGTTTGAGAAATGGGAAGCGGAGGAGGAGAAACGCTTGAAAGAGCAGGCGAAGGAGAGAGAGAAGCTAAAGAAGGAGAAGGAGAAGGCTGAAAAGGAGAAGCAGAAGGAAAAGGAGAAAGAAAAGAAGGAGAAAGAAAAGGAGGCCAAAAAGAAGGCCAACTAAAGTTTTCCACCCAACAAGAATATTTTATACTAAGTACAACTTATTTGTATTGAGGTTCAGGCCCAACACCTATTTACCAAACAACGACACCAACAACAATAATCTACTACACCACCCATCTACAGCAACAAAAACAATAGCCATGTTCATATACTCAAACGTTACAGAAAATTATCAATAAAAATCTTCGTTGTTTGGTAAAAAATATCGGCACAATAGTGATATTTTTGGTGAGATTCGAGGTTAATGTTTTTGATCTTTGTTTCTCTGTTATTGACGTTTCGGATGGCAATAAGGATCGCTTCAACTTCTGATGTATAGATGGACGTGTGGTGGGGCTTTACGAAAAATTATGATAATTTATATTTCTAAAATAGTTTCTGAATTTTTTCTATGCTCATGTGCTTCATTTTGACCCAAATGAGCTTTGCAACAAGTAGACGAAGGCTGCGATTGTGATGGCTAACTGGCATTATCGTGCCAGTTAGCTGGCCGCACAAAGGAAATGGCTCATTGCATATAATCAACGCGCTGCCGCATTGCAAACCAAATTGTATCTCATAGATAACGGGCGCACACATGCGCACACTCCTCGTATCTCAGCGCACGTATCGGTCGCAGCACGATTTCAATTGAAGCTAAATTACGCATCCAAATGCAAACGTCGATACAGTGTACACCACTGTATAGTATGTCTGCATGCCAAAACAAACGCACTCGCTGCCACAGATACTCTCATTCATACAGAGGTCCGACTATGTGTGTAAGTGCTGTGCGATATAAGCAAACACTTGTTGTCCAGTGTGGATGGGCACTGGCCCGCTAATAAAATAATGCCTCTTTCTATTCGTTTCGTTTGAATTCTATGCCAACATTCTATTAGATTGAAGCGAAATTCGCCAACTTGTATACATTGAGCGGCGGCTACTGCACCGCCGGCCACTTACGGCGCATCTGCGGTGCCTGTGTGTGTACACGTATCTGCAGTATCTGTATCTTTTGCGCTAAGTGTGCTGGCTGTGTGCACATAATGAATCACAATCGTCGTCAGTTAAGCTCGGCTTATCATTAATCAAATTAGTTGCAGCTATGGCCATAGCAGCGGTCTCAACAGCAACTGCAACAGCAACAACAACAAAACACTGGCCTGCCTGCCAAGCCACAGAACAGTGGGGAAAAAAAACCTTTCTCTACACAACTATTTATTCTTGAAGGGAATATATTTAGATGTTGCGCAGAATTTTAAAAATATTCTTTTACAATTTGGTGATAGATTTCCCAACCACAGACTGACATGAATTTAACAAATTTTGGTACTGATTCCAATATTTGTTGGAAGTTGGAATCTGTTATAAGCTTCTTAAAGCCATATGTGATTATTTTGATGACCCCGAGGTAAACAATTACTATTTATTGGGGATATTAAAAGCATACAACTATTTATTCTTGAAACGAATATGTTTAGATGTTACGCAGAATACAACAACGAAGTTTAATTCATCTACAATTTGGTGACAGATTTCCCAACCTTAGACTGACATAAAGGTAACAATTTTTCCACTTTAGACTGCAAATTTTGACAAATGCTCCTCCAATGAAATGGCCATATGTGATTATTTTGATGACCCCGAAGATACAATTACCATTTATTGAGGATATCAAAAATAACTATTATTATAATATAACTATAATAACGTCTCTGACTACTCTCTGCTGTAAATCGTGGCGCAGCTGACAATTTGGCTAATATAATTCCCCCACCGAGTCGGAGTCGTTATTAGTTATTTTTGTTATTTGTTTTATTTCTTTGCTTTTCTTTAGTTCTATCTAGTATAAATTCAGTATTGGTTCCATTTTTTATTCTCACATCGACAGCATTGTTTGTCAATAAATAAATAAATAGTTGGTGGGCTATAAATATAAATATAGCAATTTTTATACGGTTAGTTTAGTTGTGCGTCCACTGTGCGTCCATCTTGTCGGACCGCTGAGCGTCGCGTCGTTCGAAACCAGCTTTTTTGTAATTTATCATAAGTATTCTATTCTATATTCTGCTGCCATTATTACTGTCACACTGTCGCGTGTGCTCCTCTTGCTCTTATAATGCATTTATGCTGCAATTTGTTTGAATTAGCGCGCGATCACCGAGTGTCACTGGCTTGGCTTTTGGGGCTATAGGCGGCGAGCATCGGTCGGGGACATCTCGATGTTTGTATCTGTATCTGCATCTTTGAAGAGCTACGAATAGCTGTGAATTGCATTATGCAAGCGACCTAAAGTAAAAGTAGCAAGTGGTTCGTTCGCTTGAATTTGTAAAACATGTTGAATGTTTCCGGGTAAGAAGGTCTCTTTGTGAGACTCGTTTTATTCACTTTTATCAGCGCTTTACAATTTTACACCGTTTATCTTTTGGTTAGCTAGAAATGCGCCGAGGGTTATCTCCCAGTTCGATTGTTAGTGGTGGTTGCTGCATGTAAATATTTGCATCTGCATCAACGCTATTAACTGTTTTGCTGCCGCTGATAAAACATGGGATATGGTTGTGTAAATATTTGTTGCGGTGAGCGCATCTAAACGCAGATTGTACAAAGGCGACCCACTAAATGTGGCCGGAAAAGCATTACAATGTTGTTAGTGTACTTTTCCTTTACTATAGTACTGAGGCGGAGGCTGAGGCTAGGGCCGTCTTTTGCTGTTATAAATATGTTCCATTTAATTTCATTTTCAAGAGACTGCCTTTGTTGTTGATTTACTAGTCGTTTTTTTTTAATGCTGTAGCAGCAGATCCAGATCTATAGCTAAAGCAAGTGATGATATGGCTTTCGTTTTTTTCGAAGTGTGCTGAGTTTTGCTGACAATGCGAGTAAAGCCAAAGAGACCCCATTTCATTTTTCCAATTTTGTAATCTAAAAAATGGTTTTAATGTGGCTAGTAGTAACTAAAATTAATACAATTATCTTAACTTTTTCTTAAACGTTTGCTTCAAGTACCTGTTGACATGGGTGCACAGCTAACGTTTCATACCTTCCGATCAGGCCGAAGTGATTCTGATATCAACCTCTTCTACAGTTAATTCCAACAAAAAATCGTTAAAATAATTTGATAATTTATATACAGTGAAACCTCTCTTGGCCGGACACTCATCGTCGGCCAACTTTTGTCCGGCCAAGGGGAATGTGAAATTTTGTTCATTTGTTGCCTTTTTTAATTGTTTTTATATTTAGGCATTTAAAATAATTGTACTTTATTCAATACAAAGAATTAGTTACAAGTATGATTTATGTAGATACTTACTTATGGACACACATATAACAATGAAGATGCAAATTTATTAAATAGCTTTTCGTAATACTTATATACATAAGTATAACTATATTTTGAAGCTTGTTGTATGTGTTCCCCTGAAAAGTCTACTCTTTAATAAATTCGCACCATGCAGAAAAAACTGATACTCACCAACTATTTCAGATTATTATTAAATAATAGTGCTCCTAATTCTGTTTTCACACGGTAGATTGGTTCCAGAAACAACCGTGTAAAAAAACATTGATCAGGTTGGTGATTGGTTCCTTATCTCTAACGAAATATATATGTATGAAATGTAATGTGATATAATAAATACACAACAACAATATGTGATCAAACTTAATAAAGAGCTATTTTATCTAAAATTGGATGGTTCTATGCATGTCAGCATTCGTTTTCAAGAGGTTCTCGTTCGGTCAATAAATGCATTAGTTAGAATTTTTCAAAAAATAGAGTCCGTGTCCGGTCAAGAGAGTGACTGATCGCACAAGAGAGGCGAACTTGTTCTAAAAATAACATCAAAACGAAAGTTCCCGGAAAAGTGTCCGCCCAAGAGGGTTGTCCAGATAAAGGAGTTTTCACTGTAATAGAAAAAAGTAGTCAAAAATACTTAGGTCTGTTATTTGTTTTCCTATACAATAGACCCCAGATCCTACAAAAATGGGTTAAGCGCAACTTTTCGCCCATCGCCTAACCTTTATATTTAATTCTGTTAATTTTTATTGAACTGGATTAAGCCACATTGACAGAGCTCTTAGAAACTCTTCAAAGTGGATGGTGTTGAATGATGCTCTAGGCTTCAGTCTACAAGTAAGTTAACTTCAGAGCAGAAACTACAGGAGAGGCTCGACCATGCGAGATAGCTGTGCAGATCCACTCAAGCACTTGTTGTGGCGTGGATCACAGGAAATGTAAATGGCAGAACAGACGTGATGGCAGACACCAAGCACCTTTTTAAGTTTGCAGTGCCGCGTTTAAAATATAGCCAAGAGCTTAGGGAAAATGCCTTACTTATGTAGCAATTAACGAATTAAGCTTTCACCTAGATTGAAGACGCGCGAAATTAACTCGCGCTAACCGATAATTTTGACTCTCACTTATAAGGTGATTAAATAAGTATAAGAAGCCACTTAAAAGCGTGTTTGTGCGTGTATGTGCTTGTGTGTGTGTAATAGCCGAAAAATGTACGCTAATTAAACAAATTGGTCGGCAAGAGCAGCAAGCAACAAGAACAGCAACAAAGAGCACAGCAACTGCTACTGCCTTGAGGCCACTCGACTGACTGCAAATCTAATAGCTCACTACTATGTTTCGAGAGGTGTTGGACGAGCGTGCCGCTTTATTGAGGTCTTGCCACAGTTAGTGGTGCTGTTGGCTTGGCTTTTCTAAAGCTCTATGTATCTATAAGATACAGTTTGCTTGCACAGCAATCAGTTGGCAAGTGTAGCAGCAGTAGGTCAACACTGCCCGAGTCTGCTTCAGAATCAATATGTTGGCAGTTGCTGGCAGCGTCGGTTTCATAATCGGCTTCCATGTTCTATACTCCGTGATTTGAAGTGTGTGTGCATGTGTGTGTTTCTTCAGATTCTACAAGTATATAGCATGAACTAGCCGCGCCTCTGGGTTTGATTCAATTTGATTTGCTGTGCAGCGCACGTAGCCGTCGGAGCGGCGTGGTCGGCCCCTGAGTACTGGAGTACATTGCAATAATAATGAGCATTTCTCTCTAGTTACTTTCTGCTTTCTATGCCGCGTAGTTGAGGCATTTTTAATTAATTTTTAATATACTTACACACTTTTCATTGATGTTGCGGTCGCTGTGTGTGTGCGTCTCTCTCTGTGTGTGTGTGTGTGTGTGTGTGTGTGTGTGTGTCAAGCCGCTGGCCATTGGCATTCTCTGA